TTTATGCATGTTAGATAATTATACATCTTAACGATAACCCCCACATTAAGATCCGTGTATAAAAAAATATATATATAATTTCTATTTTTATTCAACAATCGCATTCATTTCTATCATAAGAGTAGATCATTATATGGGTAAATATAAATTAATATAGATTTTTTTTGGAATAATGGATTCCATTTTGTGTTATTATATGGTACATATAAGCTACATGCAGCACCGTCCTCGATCTGTCAGCAAAATATTTTCAAGTACACAGGGTGTTTGCATGCGAAAAAATTCAGAGAGTATTCCTTGGGTTATTTAAGTTTTCTAATCTTTGGTTAGAAGATATAGAGGGTGCTGAATATAAATAAAAATCCAAGGGATTTAAGTATGGTGATTTGTGAGCAGGCCCTAAGTAAGGTTCACTTCTATCAATCCAACGACTTTCATTAAAGAGGTACATGATGCTTTACTTTACTTTTACCGCCCTGTATCTTCGAAACAAAGTGTCTGTCCGAAAATCATTCAGGACAAAACAATCTTAAAATAATCCAAGGAATAACCCCTTAAATTTTTGCCGCAGGTTTGGTAAACACTCTGTATAGTGCTTGTTTCAATGGAAACTTGTGTATATTTTAACATGCCCTAATCAACTTGATTTCTTCTTAGGCCTTACAAGCGTACTACGTTACAAAGTTAATCAATTTTTTTTGTGTTTATAAAAAAAATCTAAAATATTATAATTTTCACATATTCATATTTTGAAATATCTACTTGAAAATATAATATTTTATTAGTACAACTTATCTTAATTTTTATTACATTTCATTCGATAACATAAAATCGCAGACAAACTTAGCGACAAAGTAGATTCCCAACAATAACCTATACACTTGTTTTGTCAAAATTTTGAAGCTTTGGCCACCACATTTAAGTGTCAAAACAGAGTAACAAGCACGGCCATACAGGGTGTCTCAGAAATAAGTACATTAATTTTAATCAGTTATAGAGCTCATTGAACTCAACAACTTTTTTAAGTAGAGTTTTGTCAAGAACTTTTTAATTATCAAGTTAAAAATTGTTAAAGTTATACCCCAATTAAGGTTACCCGCCCATGGATCCTTAGTCACCCATGGACGCTAATAATTATTATAATTAATAATTTATGGTCAAAAACAGTTACTAGGATACGTATTTTCCTAATCTTGTCAATGTGACAAACATTTAGAGAGAAATTGAAAATCCTGCTCCCTAATAGCGTACGGAATTTCATCGGCCCAAATGTGGGTGTTGAACACCTTCCCTCGTGTAACCGACCTCATCAGTTGATGGTATAAGAGAAACAAAATTTGCTAGTTCGTTTATTTTTCTATTAACCCACTCACAAAAGTGTTGCCTACGTGGTAAGTCTGTTAGTTTCAATAACTGAACTTTCTGGTCCTGAAAGGGATACATTTGTTCTCTGAGTATCCTCCAAATACTACTCTCCGATACATCACACTAGACAGTGATACGTGCTAGTGCCCGGTCGAGCTTCGACACTCTTCAAAACAGCCTCTTCAATATTAGCAATTCTATTACTATGTAACTTACCCCGATCCTGAGGTGCCGGTTTAAAAGATCCATACTCTCGAAAATGCTGCAACGTTCTTAAAACTGCGCACATTTGGCAGACGATTTGGGAAAAACATTGACATAAAAATGATTGTCAGTGTCAAAACGGTTGCTACGGTACCTTCTTCATTGTTGTAGTGTTGCTATTATTTAAGTTATTATTTAAGGTGAACATAGACGGCTCGTGAATATATGGGTGGGAAAATTCGAAATTCGACTTGAGTTTTGGAAAAAATGCTAGATAAAAAAGTTGTTCCGTTTCAGGAGTTCTGTTACTGGTTAAAATTAATGTACTTATTTCTGAGACACCCTGTATATAACAGGTCTGCGAACTCCGAGTTTAAAATGGTCTTTTTTCGAAGAGATCCCAGACGGCCACGGGAGCTTAAAGTTCCTAGCGCCGTCTACTGGATACTATGATGAAACTGTCCACAATAATGAATGAAATTTGCGTAAAAATGTCCTTGAATGCAAGTTGTCACAAATGTCAGCTATATAGGTTAGGTTTTGTGACATCTTTTTGAAAGATGAGGGGAAATATACGTCAAATGTCATGTCAAACGTCAGTCGGTAATGCAAATAGTACAATTAACTATCACATGGTGGCGGTCATCTTAAGCTCCCACAACCTACTACGATACCAGTTTTTAAGCTCCCGTTTTATGAAAATTTATGAATGGAGTTGAAACACCTTACTTATACCACCGTGGTAACAAGTGACAGATATTATAATGTAGATTTAAATATTCACTTGACATATAGTGACACTATGGTTGGTGTTAATCTATCTAAATTTTTACCACATTAAATTGTGGTTAAGCCACGTCTGTGTTTAGTTTACAATATGCGAATCTCCAGAAAATTATGTTCTTTGTCGCTATGTTTTGTCTACGACGTTATGTTAGTGTATGTATCAAGAATGTTGACAAATCTCAAAAACTATCAACTTTAGGATACAAAATACTTACCAATAAAAGAAATATGTACATAGATACTAACTAGGTAGTATAATACATGCAAAAAACTAGGTAGGTATACCAAAGTGATCAATATAAACACGTGATTTAATTTCACCAAATATAACGTTAATATTAATCTTTTAATTTTTAGTACAAACATGTTTTAAACTGTACCTAACTACAATATTTGAAATACTTTTTCTACGCACACCGTCAGAAACGCACTGCTGCGTTCGAAAAAAAAAAACTAACAATTGACTGTTTCGCAAGTGACAAAATATTTGCAATTGTTATCGTAGATATAGTTTATTGATACAATTATTAATAGTTTTTAAGTTATTTACCTATTATGTCTCGCCTAATGACCTTGTGTGCTCAAATTCAATATTACGTTCGCCGATTTACGCTTATTTAACATAAGGTACACCATATCCGTATAGTGACAAAGTGAAACACCAAATTATGTAATTAATTATTAAACGTAAAAAACAAAAATGGCTATAAGGGAGAAATTTCAGGACATATTTGTCAATAATCAGATTTGTATACTCCTAAGACCAAAGAGGAGTCGCTACGTTTTGGTTATATGGCGTTGTCAATATATTTTCAGAATGTAATGTCCCGTTATTAACGTACTTAATATTATGAAACTTTAAATATAACCTGTCCACAACTTTTCCTGTATGTATAATGCAGGAGCAGTATTTTTAAAATACGGTTTTTTATCACATATTTTTTCAATTTTGTTGAAATTTTTGCAACACGTATTTTAAAAATTGAGTATCTCAAATTTTGGCACGAGGTCTCCACCACTGTTTTCACTTACAAAACTTTATAAATCGTAGCAGATATAATGTCGATTGTGTTTGTGGGAACTAATTAGATACAGTAAAAAGAAGCATCTGGAAGCTTCCACGAGACAAACTGCTTTTTGCTGTGTCTTAGTTCCAACAACAAAAATCGACAATATATCTGGTACGATTTCTGGCATTTTGTAAGCTGAAACAGTGTTGAAACCTGCGTTCCGAAATTTACATAAATAATTGAGATATTGATTTTTAAAAAACTTTATGCAAAAATTTTACTAAAATTAAAAATATATAGGTACATAATGATAAACTCTTTTTAACAAAACTACCCTTGCTGTACATATAAAAAGCTGCAGAGAGGTTATATTTAAAATTCCACAACCTAATTCTATTAAAATTTATTGAAAATTTTATGCCCTTGCGTTATAAGAGAAAGCTATCGGTATTGGTTATATTTGAAATTTCATAGCTGTCAAGTCAGGTCATGATAATGGAGATATTACATTCTGAAAATGTATTGAAAATTCCATGTAGAAAACGACTGGCCTTCATAATATATACCTATATTTTTTATTTTGGAGCTTGTAATTTAGGATTTAAACTACACAGAATTGTACATTTTAGGAGAATTCCCTTAAGAGAAACTTAACTTCTACATCAAAATTACTGAAAGCTTAGCTTCCTATTTGTTATCTAGGACTATTGGGGAAACTAAAATTTTGAACGAATATTTACATTTTTTGTTTTGTTTTTAACATTATATATAGTAGCTATGCATCTAGTGATAACGCTAACTTTTTAATTTTAATTGAATAATGATAAATTTTGGTTTCTACGTTAAAAATAGTTGTTATAACTATCGACAAAATTGTTTTTTTTTGGTAACATAGTTGTTATATTTTACTGTAACACTTCATTATGACACAATTCTTCTTGTATATATTTAGTACATAACAAAAGTCGGTGCAAACATTTCAATATGTAAGGGTGTGTTTTTCAATATTTTTTAAATAAGATGTTCAAATTCTTGATGAAGATTCATATCACACTAAGATTTCTGATAGGTATAATTAATAAATTAATAATTAATCGATAAAATAAACTGATTTGCATGCTATTTTTAATGTATCGTCTGTCGTTTATTATCTTTTGCCGATTTTATTTAACACCTAGTAGACCGGTAATTGCTGTGGAATTTTTTATGTATTTTAAAAGTATCGTATAGATGGTTAAACGAGAAGCAACATATTTTATTTGTTCATGCCAACCAATACAATGATAATGAAATATTTAAATTTTGCTGGACAAATTCTCTTTAAATAAAAATGTTTTATTAATCCGTTTTTATATTTTACATAAAACTAGCGGAACCCGGCAGACGTTGTCCTGCTTGTGTATATATTTACTTTGTATATATGTGGATATAAATGTATGGTCTGGAGCGCAGAATGCGTTGTAGAAAACTGAATAATAAGATTAACTCATATTAATGCTATTCCATTTATTTTCATTAGTATACACAATGTACACATTTTTGTATTAGTAATTCACGTGAATGAACAAAATTTTTGACTATTGTATTCGCTATATAACTGAAACAACTTGAACACATTTTAATCAATACTAACATCTATCGTAACGCTAGTGGGTAAACAATATTTTTGGTTTTTCGATTTGGTGTATAGACGTACAGAGTTTTTGGAGTTCCTACTCTGGAGCAAGCAACATACAGTTGACCATGCGAAAAACATGGATTTCCTAAATTTAATCCGGCAACGCGTAGAGACTGCCCTTGGGCTTTGTTGATTGTCATCGCGAAAGCAAGACGCACAGGAAACTGTAGTCGTTCGAATGTAAAGGGCAAATCAGTAGGAACCATTGGAATGCGCGGAATCAGCACATCTTCACCTTTACATTTGCCGCTAATTATTGTTGCTTCAATCACATTCGGCATCAGTTTTTTCACTGAAAGTCTGGTTCCATTGCATAACTTCGGGGTATTGAGATTCCGAAGGAGCAGTATTGGTGAGCCAACTTTTAGCGTCAGTATGTGCGGTGGCATTCCAGGAGGCTCCAACGAATTGAGAAATTCGACTGGATAATTTACAGCTTGGTCCTCTTCTGTAACTGTGTCAATCGATTTGTATTCCGTAATCACCCCAGGAACTTTTAATTGAATCTTATTATTGATTCGATTGACATCATCATTCTTTGGAGCTAAGATAGCTCGCTCGCAAAGCCAATCATGATTTCTAAAGTTGTTAGCGATGTTGGAGAAAACTCTCTCTTCAAGTTCTTCAATTGATGACTGAAGTTGACAGAAGTTCGGAGGGAACGCTATCTCCTGTGTTGTAGGATCAGCCAAAAGTTTGCCGTCGCCGATATCCAAAAGTTGTTTGGCAAATATTTGTGCAGAAACATCTCCAAGTAAATGCACACGCATATTGGTCGACAGTGTAATTTTTTTCACATGTCTCCAGAGAGACGAATTTTTCAGGCATGCATTCAACTCGTCTGCTGGTGTTGATCTAGGAATCACGGGCAAAGTTTGACGGAAATCACCTGCGAGCAGGATCAGAGCTCCGCCCAGTGGACGTTCATCGCTTCGGAAATCTCGCAGAGTACGATCAAGTGCTTCAAGTCCTTTCTTATGGGCCATAGTACATTCATCCCAAATAATCAGTTGGCATGTTTTCAATACAGTTGCCATTCCAGTTGTTTTTCCAATGTTGCAAAGAGGATCAGCAGCTAGATTTAAATTCAATGGCAGCTTGAGAACCGAATGCGCCGTGCGTCCTCCATCGAGTAATGTTGCTGCAATCCCCGATGATGCCACAGCCAAAGCAATCTCATGTTTCATTCGAATTTCAGCGAGTATCAAATTGAGTAGAAACGTTTTTCCTGTGCCTCCTGGTGCATCAAGAAAAAGAAGTCCACCATTTCCGCCTCGCACATGCTCCATAATTGTGTCGTATGCAAGTCGTTGATCGTTTGTTAAGAGCCTTTTCTGAGTTTCAACATAAACTTGTAGCGCATCGACGTCGTATTGTTTTTCTCGCAATACGTCTCTATCTATAACATCGTTTCTGTCACGTTCCGGTGAAAACAGCCCAAGCTGATTGAGGATTTTGTTGTTAATCGACATACACACATCCTCAAGTGATATCAGTGCTTCATTGAAAATGTCTTCCGAATACTGTACATCCAAGCCGGGATTATTTCTGCGTGCTCGGAGAAGTATGTCTTCGCTCATAGTCTCTTTGTGTTTTTCCCATAAACATTTCGGATCAGAAGGTGCGCAGGTTGTCAAAATTATGGCAAACAGAGTTCGTATTTGGTGGGCATGACGTGTCTCAGATGCTTCCGCTAATGTGTTGTCCCAATGTTGATCATTTTCAAGCAAACCAAGTTTAAAACATGCTTCTCTGTATGTCTCACACTCTTGACCATCGATTGTTTTGATTGCTTGAAACGATGTTGGTTCTTTGAACACGTGAAGCAGCATTCGCAAATAGTAGCATTCACCATTATTTGGATGAACAGGGCACCAGTAGAAAATATGCCAGCTATAGAAGGATGCCTGGCGCCTCGTTTTCTTCTGCAAAATTTCTTCGTCGATTGATTCCAAGTGTAGTACTGCGGGACTTCGTGATACATTAATGTTTTTGCGAATTCGTCAGTTGCACACAATTGGAAAAAAGCGGTCAACGTTGTATTTGGTGGATCTGCAACTCGTTGGGGTGCGTTGTCTTCCGTGAAGTAGACTCGTTGACCGTTTTCCAAGTGAACACTGAGATGCATGACAGCAGGAAAGCGTTCATGAATGTCGAAACCAAGAATTCTCCATACAGCTTCATTACTGCTAATGTAACGTCCCATTTGAAATTGCTCGATTTCATTGACGGGCGCATTGGGATTCGCAATTCCGAAAATTGCCATATCGCTGCCTTTATTCACGTATTTGCATATGTATTTTATTGCCTTAACTGAATTACAGGACTCCACGTTGATATGTGCATTGAATGATTTCGAAAGGATAGGAGAGTAGGGCACAATCCATCGGTTATCAACTTCGAAATCAACGTTATTGATTTTGATATTAGTTGTGGTGTATCCTCCATCATCTGGTTTTCGTCGTCTGTACAACGGATAACCGTCGCCACCAGTTTGTGTTTCTTGCAGCAGCTGGCGTGGATACTTTTTGGTGCATTTTCCGTCTTTCATGCATGGCGAGTGTGGGTTGTGTCCCCCACATGGTCCGTGAATCATATTTTTTTTCACAATTTCAAATAATTCTGGATCTTCTTCTGCGTTGGGCAGCTCAGCAGTAATGATATCATCAATTTGAGTTGGAACAATTTTTTCAACCAACCAAATTAAGATATGAGCATGTGGTAGACCTCTTTTCTGCCATTCGATGGAATACATCCAACAGCGAGTTTCTCCATATATATGGTTCTTAGTGATGAGATCCATAAAACGTATCAATTTTTGTTTGAAAACTCTCGCTGTGAGGTCATGCCGATCAGATGGTTGTTGGCCAGGCAAAAGTAAATCTTTGATTTCACACCAAGATGGATTACATGTGAATGTGATGAAAAGATCTGGACGTCCATATCTGCGAACATATGTCAGAGAATCCTGAGCATATTCTTGCATATGTCTTGGACTTCCAGTATACGAAGCTGGAAGTATAACCGTTTGTCCAATATTACCAATTGTTCCATCATTCGCGATTGCATCTCGCAAATGAATATAATCTTCGACTCGAAGCTTCGATTGATTGTAACGAATGTAATTGAGTCGTTCGCTTTCGACTTTGGCGTACATATCAACGATGAATTGTTGAAAAACATGACGACACTTTAAAATATGGTTGGATTGTTCGGCTCGAATCATGATGCGATATGCATAAAAATCCATACAACTGACTTTTTTCGTTGTCGCAGCACCTGTGACGGGATGAGTTTGATACAATTCGAGATGATAACCGTCTTCTCCTCGCGGAAATAGAATTGGATATTGAAGTGCGTCGTACGATCGATGTGTTTCAGCAATACGTTGCTTGGTTTGATTTCGCCTGCTGATAACAATATCTCGCCGAGTAATTTCTGTACCGACAATTACAGCTGCTACTTCAGGGGCTATTGGAGCATTGAAACGTCTTTCATGCTCATTCGATGGGGTTTTGTCTGCTCTGATAATGAGTTTGAAGTCATCCGCTCTTACATTCTCCAATGCGGATTTGAAATCTCGGACCAAACAGTTGTGCTCGTGGAATAATGCTCGTAATTCAGCAATAATCTTTCGATCTGTTGCTATACTAAATGCGCATCGTCGATCAATCTCCTTCTCCACATTGTCCATGAAATAAATTTGCAAAAATTGCGGATCTTCTTTGGATACTGGAAGGAGTGAACCAATCTGATGATACACTTGTCCTTGCACTTTAAATGTGGGCATAAAATTATTATATCTCACAATATTCGTCGCTCCAAACGATGTCATCTGAAAGCATGAGTTGTATTTCCGAATATGCTGTAGAAAGTGTTTGGACTCCCTAGTAAGTCCAGCAACGTAAGTGAGCAGTGGTTCTGGTGGTTCAGTCAGTGGTGGCAAATTGATTTTGCCATTGGAGCAACACATGCCAGGCGCTTCTTTTTGAAACTTCAAAGCGCGACAGTGTAGACACAATTTAGTCATCGGACCAATGACAACATCGCGATGCATTTTGTAGTCTTAGGGGCCAATTCCAAGTTGGTGGCGCAAGTCACTGGTGCAGCGCAACTTTATAATGCTAACTTGGGTATCAAATGCTGGTTGCTAGGGGTGACGGAATCAACAAACGCAGTTTTGTCGCACTTTCCATTGAAATTTGCACCATGGAGTTGCGGCACCTCTAGTAGGCAGTGCAAGTTGGCGCAATTTATCTCGAAAAATTGCGCTTGTTTATTCCGTCACCCCTAGCAACCAGCATTTGATACCCAAATTAGCATTATAAAGTTGCGCTGCACCAGTGACTTGCGCCACCAACTTGGAATTGGCCCCATAGTCTTTATCGTAATTGAACGCTGCTTTCTTGAGATCGATTTTGTTCTTGATCGAGTCTGCCGTGAGCGTTCTGCTTCACGTCGTGTGTCTCGCTCTTCTGGTGTTGCAGAAGCTCTTGACGTAGACGCTCTTGCTCGAAGATCTTCAACACGTACGTCATGCTGTTGTGATGTTTCGGCAGCTCTTGACGTAAAAGCTCGCACCCGCAGGTTTTCAATTCGTGAGTCTCGCTCTTCGGGTGTTTCGGCAATTCTTGAAGTAGAGGCCCTGATCCGATCAGTTTCCAGTCGCGCGTTTCGTATTTCAATGGTTTCACCAGCTCTACTGGCTGCAACTTGCTGCGCATGTCTGGTTGATCTTCCAATGTTTGATTTTTTGGGTGGCATTTTCAATAATCTCCAGTAATTAGACAGATGACTCGTCTACCAACGAAAACAATGTTGTCATAATGTTGTCATTGATGCCGCTGATTCTCGAATTTCATAATGCTTTGACAGGTGCAGAATCAGCCAACGCGATCTATGTTTCAGCAGCTCTACTGGCTGCCAGTTGCTGCGATGTCTGGTTGATCTTCCAATGTTTGATTTTTTGGGTGGCATTTTCAATAATCTTTAGTAATTCACTCTTTGTTATTACTGAGGATTGTAGACAGTGAACATCACTAATTATTTTCTTTTGCGGTCAATACGAATTTTGTTATAATACCAACGAAAACAATGTTGTCATTGGTGCCGCCATATATCTAATACTTGCTAACTCTTCAGAAGTAACATAGAAACGGTGTTCACGGACAAAGGGAGACGGAAAATATTGTTTTCTGTCTAGAAAAGTACTGAGGGTCTGTGCGCACGTACACAAAATAGAAGCGAACGTATGAAATGTCAAAACACATCTAGTCACGTTATCGACTAAAAATCAAGCAAGTACGAGTATATGAGCAGTACTGTTTGGTACTATAGAGAGACAAAGAGGTCCGATATATTGCTCTGCCGTTGTGTTTTCGGACTTTTTTGAGGCCTGATAGCAATATAGTAGTATTAGATATATGGGTGCCGCTGGAAAATATTCTCCATGGTCAAATACCAACGTATATCAATTTTGATGAGGATCGGTTGATTGGTACAGAAGTTGATGTGTTGCAGCGCCATCTAGTGGCGAGTTACAGCAAAATGGATAGGGCGAAAATATTCTCCATAGTCAAATGGCAAGGTGTACCAATTTTTATGAGAATCGGTTGAACGGTGTAGAAGTTGATATGCTGTAGCGCCATCTAGTGGCTAGTTACAGCAAAGCGGATACCACAAAAACCTTCTCCATGAAAAACCACTTACATGTACCAAATTTCATGGTGATCGGTCAAGCGATTTCGGAGTCTATCGATCACAGATATATATACCAACATCCATCTATATATATAAAAATGGATGTTGGTATATATATCTGTGATCGATAGACTCCGAAATCGTTTGACCGATCACCATGAAATTTGGGACATGTAAGTGGTTTTTCATGGAGAAGGTTTTTGTGGTATCCGCTTTGCTGTAACTAGCCACTAGATGGCGCTACAGCACATTAACTTCTACACCGTTCAACCGATTCTCATAAAAATTGGTACACGTTGGCATTTGACTATGGAGAATATTTTCGCCCTATCCATTTTGCTGTAACTCGCCACTAGATGGTGCTACAACACATCAACTTCTATACCAATCAACCGATCCTCATGAAAATTGATATACGTTGGTATTTGACCATGGAGAATATTTTCGCGTCATCGATTTTGCTGTAACTTGCCACTAGATGGCACTGCAGCACATCAACCTCTCTGTTAAAGTATTATGAACTTAGAGAATCAGCGGCACCCATATATCTAATACTACTATATTGCTATCAGGCCTCAAAAGAGTCCGAAAACACAACGGCAGAGCAATACATCGGACCTCTTTGTCTCTCTATAGTACCAAACAGTACTGCTCATATACTCGTACTTGCTTGATTTTTAATCGATAACGTGACTAGATGTGTTTTGACATTTCATACGTTCGCTTCTATTTTGTGTACGTACGCACAGACCCTCGGTACTTTTCTAGACAGAAAACAATATCTTCCGTCTCCCTTTGTCCGTGAACACCGTTTCTATGTTACTTCTGAAGAGTTAGCAAGTATTAGATATATGGCGGCACCAATGACAGCATTGTTTTCGTTGGTATTACAACAAAAATCGTATTGACCGCAAAATAAAATCATTAGTGATGTTCACTGTCTACAATCCTCAGTAATAACAAAGAGTGAATTACTAGAGATTATTGAAAATGCCATCCAAAAAATCAAACTGATTCCGCGCATTCCAATGGTTCGTACTGATTTGCCCTTTACATTCAAACGACTACAGTTTCCTGTGCGTCTTGCTTTCTCGATGGCAATCAACAAAGCCCAAGGGCAGTCTCTGCGCGTTGCCGGATTAAATTTAGGAAATCCATGTTTTTCGCATGGTGAACTGTATGTTGCTTGCTCCAGAGTAGGAATTCCAAAAACTTTGTACGTCTATACACCAAATCGAAAAACCAAAAATATTGTTTACCCACTAGCGTTACGATAGATGTTAGTATTGATTAAAATGTGTTCAAGTTGTTTCAGTTATAGTGGACCAAAAGCTATAAGGTTATATGGCCATCATAAAATCATCCCATTGTGTCGAAGTTAAGTTGTTTACAATAGAAAAGGTTTTAGGGTCGTAAATAACGTGTCCAATGGAGCTCGACCGGCTGTTGTGGTTTCGTTCAGGGGCGGCTTTCACTAAATATGTAAATCCACCACTCCACTATTTCTTTACTACCTGCAGCCGCTGAGGGTTCCGAAATCACCACTCGCTTTGAAAGCCGGCCCTGTTAAATATGAGCAAGAAATGTTGAGAAGACGATTTATTGCCAACCGGTAAGCTTAGTGCGAACCACACAAAGGGGGTACTTATTTGCGGTCAACTACTTTTATAATGGTCATATAACCTTATACCTGTTGGACTAGCATATATAGCGAATACAATAGTCAAAAATTTTGTTCATTCACGTGAATTACTAATACAAAAATGTGTACATTGTGTATACTAATGAAAATAAATGGAATAGCATCAATATGAGTTATCTTATTATTCAGTTTTCTACAACACATTCTGCGCTCCAGACCATACATTTATATCCACATATATACAAAGTAAATATATACACAAGCAGGACAACGTCTGCCGGGTTCCGCTAGTTTATATATATATAGATATGTTCGGAAAAAATGCAAAATTTTGAAGAAAATTTGAAAGTTTAGGTCTTGCAAAAAATACAAAATTGACTACATCTTGCAAGTAGTTTGTTGGTCCCCTCCAAAAATTTCATGACGTCATCTAAAAATTTTGTGAAATCAATCCTGTCTAAAATGCACAAAATGTAGATAACACATCTAAGCATATGATTTACACTTTGTCTTAAAAACTAAAAGAAACCAATTGCTCTTATTAAATTTAGTACGTGCAATAAAGTTCTTAGCAGTCTCGTAGATCGCCAAACAAAATTTGTGCATTGATCCCCACGAACACTTTGTAACGTCACTTCAAACGTTTCCGAAGAAAATATTCCTGTTTAAAATATGTCAAAATAATGTGCGTCCTTACGCGTGGTTTATGAAACCATATTCTTACGAAAATTTCTTCTCAAAGAAATTTGTATGAAATAAAACCTGCACCCTACACACTATGTCTACAATTCTCTAACACTCTATTTTTTTGTATCGCTTTTTAACTATTTTTTCCTGACTTTAGTTTTTATCAAGTTGTGATTATGTGTAGATTATAAATCCATCCATATTTTTAAACATATATACATACATACCTACAGGTGTTTAAGAAATACCGCATCAACTCAACGGTACATTATTAAAAAATCCCTAACGTCAATGTAACGTTCACTTACAAAAACAAAATATCAATGTTGACAGATGGATCAAAAAACTTGAAAAATTAGCCACTGTTGTTCAAATTCATAGTAAACAATCTTTAAGTTTCCTGTTATATCATAAAGTGAAGCAAACAATGGACAAGATACTCGTATCTCCAAAATTATTTTGAATTATGGAAGTCCGATCGATTTCACATACCCAACACAAAATTGTGAATTAAAATATGGTGAAGTTTCGAAAAAAAATAAAATTTAAAGGGATATATCTTCTACATTTGGACAAAAGAATGTTTTAATATATTTTTCCTCTGCTCCATAAACAGTCCTGAATAATTTGTCATAGTGTCAATGTGAGCAATTTTTTAAACACCCTGTATAAGTATGCAGGTAAATTACATTAGACATGCACCAGGTCACGAGTTTTGAAGGGCAGGGAAAGTGATGTCTAAATTCTTTAGACCCAATGTTTTAAGCTACCTGGACATATTTCGTAAACTTCAGTGCTTATAATCATAATAAATAGATACGTGGATGAAGTGTTACAATTTCATAACGTCTATTGGAATGATTATTAAATTTTTCCACTAGTACATCTACAGCAACGCTAGTTACCGATGCAGTGTATTTGGTGGCAATAAGGATTATGGCTTAAAAATTACTGAAATTGTATTAATACTAACTACTGATTATCTTTTCAGGGCTGAATCACTAAACAGAAAGTGTTAACCTTATAAT